GTCCATTGCTTTTTTCCATCATGATAAATGATGTTGATATTAGTCAATCTTTATTTGCAGATGATGGAGCATTATGGAAAAGGGGAAGAAATGTTGAACACATTAAAATAAAGATACAAGAGGCAATTAATGTGGTTGAAAACTGGTCATACTCATGGGGATTTTAGTTTTCAGTAGAAAAAAACTAAATCACTAATATTTACAAGGGAAAAAAAGGAAATCACTGGAATGGAGGTAAGAATATATGGACAATTAATTGAGCGAGTTAAAGTCTTTAAGTTTTTAGGAGTGTGGTTTGATTCCAAATTGATTTGGACTGAACATATTAATAATATACTCAACGAATGTAAAAAGGTGTTAAATGTTATGAGGTGTTTATCTGGATCTGATTGGGGAGCGAGCAGAGGTGCAATGAAAAGGGTATATATAGCATTGATTAGATCAGTATTGGATTATGGGAGTTTTGTATATGGATCGGCAGCTAAAACATCATTACAAAAGCTAGAAGTAATACAAGCTCAAGCATTGAGATTGTGTTGTGGTGCGGTCAAGTCTACTTCTGTTGATGCTCTGCATGTGGAGATGGGGGAAATGCCAATGTGTTTCCGACTTGAACAGCTAATCATGAATTATTGGGCAAATTTAAAAGGACATACGGAGGCTGGAAACCCAACCACCAAGGTATTTCTCCCATGTTGGGAGAGTGAGAGAACTAAGAGTAAATGTTTTGCATGGATCTTTTATTAGATCAGGAAACATGCATTCCTACAGTCCCAGTAACAGTAACTCCTCCATGGTTATTTCTCTCAGTATTCGTTGATTTATATCTACTGGAAAATAGTCATCTATTTAACGATACAGGAAATCTGCCAGTGTTGGTGGAGGATAGGATTCAAACATTGGATCCGTCTGCATATATTGCTACATAATTCTGATCCAAAGATCCTGCAGGAAGAACAGCATATGCATTTACCATTCCATCTTTACAAGTATCTATCAATAGGAGAACATCAGATCACCTGGCAGTTTATACAGTTGAGTTAATAGCAATTGCAACAGCTCTGCACTGGGTAGAACAAGTTAAACTAAACAAAGTTATTCTGTGCTCAGATTCAAGTTCAGTGTTATTATCGGTACAGTCATTTTCATCCCGGCGTAGGCAAGACATAGTTAATGAAATATATTAAACTCTTTTCAGACTTCATAATTTGAATATAGTGGTTACATTTATGTGGGTGCCTGCTCACAAGGGAGTTAAAGGCAATGAAACAGCAGATTCATTAGCAAAAGAAGCAATCAAGCAAGAAAATACAATAGACATTTTATTTAGCAAAGCAGAAATAAAGACAATAATTAAAAGTAAAATCATCAGTAAATGGCAAGATAAATGGAACAGTGGAAGTGCAGGCAGACATCTTTATAACATCCAGAAAGAAGTGGGA